GATAGAATTATAATCTATAGCTGCAACGTTAGTTGAGTTTGAGCATAACTGTCCTTTAACCTCTCAGGAATTTTGCAGTTGACTGGGGTGAAACTGGGGACAAATGTAGTGTGGGTGCAGGTAACATTTAGGATTTTAATGAATCATGAACGAAGAAGCACATTACCAGCAAAAGTAAAAAGAAAAGTAAATAAAAACTTAACTGGTAAAAACAAGAGCTCTATTTCACTTAATTTCCTATGTGTGTTGGGGGCAACAACAAAGGACACAAAGATGCGCTACCGTAAAGCTTACTGAAAAGGCGCAAGCAATTGATGAGGCGGCTGCCTTCACCGTGGCTCACGAACGATGGGGGAGGGGAGGCTCTACTGGTAAAATGGCGCTTCTTAGGAATACAGCGCAATCCATTCAGACACTTTATCAGGTGACAATGATAAAAGGGTGATTAAAAATAAATCTATAACAGAATATGCGCACACAGAGCGATGAAATAAAAATCTTAATTTAATTTACTATTATAACGCGTGAGTGCACTCTCAGTGTTGCTGTTTATTTCTAATATGGCAGCTGCGCATTAGAGCTCCGAAACTTTAAATATTAAAACATCAAGGGTTACTTTCGCGTAGATGCTTCGGTTTGTCAGCAGATCATATCAAATTATCACCGAAAAATATGAAATTAATTATCAGTTGAGTCAATAACATCGACCAAATAGATTTTTATTTATTGAACTGAAATCCTTAAATGCGTTCTGTGTTTGTATCTGCAAATCCAACAGTGTGAAACAATTCATTCCAATCAATTTAAAACTGCAACTCTGAACATATCCTGATCCTGACCAACGCAGTAGAGTGCGTTATTTAAAGTGCATGCTTTATGGGAGCGGTTTTCTAAAGTGAAAACAAATTCCCCTTGACCCGTTAAATCGTCTAAACGTCAATGATTCGACACGCGTCTTACTAAGATTGCGTCGTCGCTTCTACAAAGATTCGCATTAATGTGAGGAATCTGCGACTAGAAAAATATGGATTACTTTTACACGGAGTGAAATGTTGAAAAACGCCACCAGAAAACCAGTTGATAACTTCCAGTCAGAGGATTCACTGTGCAGACGAAAACTTGCATCTTTCTTCTTGTGACAGAGTGACTGTGCACCTGGGCAATAATAGAGAACTACTACCTTAGGTTCTAAAAGTTAACTTAAGGCAGTAGTGCTTTTTCAACAAAACACAAAACTATTTGAAATTGTTTTGAAACAGTTTTGAAACTTTTTTTTGACTTTGACCCGAAAGCATTTTTTTTAAAGGCAATAATGAAAACTGAAATAGAAACCAATGATGTGACATTAGGAATGAACTGACGGACAAACTCATGAAGAACGGGATGGTTAAAATCCACCTGTCAAATATGAAAATATGGCACTCGAGACCCCAAATGAAGAATCGTGCGCAATAGAAGCTTACTTGTGTGGACAGGTTGTATCCGGGCAGGTTGACTACAGCTCTTTTTCCTTGTAGTAGTGTTTACAGACCCCATTGAAGAAACAAGTCATTGCTGTCGGATACGTCCCATTTCCTTCTTCTTCTTCTTCTTCTTCCAGTTTAACGGCAGCTTGCATCCATCGAAATTGCATTACTGCCACCCTCTGCTGTTACTTAGACTGCACTTAGCTCTTTAAATCCTCTTCAACAATCCCGTTCTTCTCAGAAACCGAAGAACCACTCCTTTCCTTTCATGACATCCTAGCCAGTCAACCACCTTTTCAAACCTGAGTTCCCCCCTAATTCCCAATTCTACCCTCATCATTCTCCTATGGTTATCATACCTTCTGCAGTTAATAAATACATGCTCAATTGTTTCCATAACACCACACCAATTACATTACACAGCCCCGTTAAATGTTTCCCCATCCTAAAAAGAGTGCCATTCAGGAAACAATGCCCTGTTCTTATTCTACACATAACAATCTCCTCCCGCCTATTCATTCCCTTATTTCTTTTAGCTTCTACTGTATTTTCAGTTTTGACTACACTGCGGTCATCGAGTCTGTCCTGTGCTCCTCCATCACAGTCTGGTATGGCGCAGCCACTAAACAGGACAGGAGCAGACTGCAGCGGACTGTACGGGCAGCAGAAAGGATCATCGGCACGCCCCTGCCCTCCATCCAGGATCTGTACCTCTCAAGAACCAGGAAACGGGCAGGGAAAATCATCACAGACCCCTCACACCCTGCACACAGACTTTTTGATCTGCTGCCCTCTGGCAGACGGTACAGAAGCCTGCAGACCAGGACCACCCGACACAGGAACAGTTTCTTTCCCCTCGCCATCTCCCTTCTTAACAGTTGACCTGTCACACTGCTCCCACTGCCAGACTGCAGCTGCACCTTATCTACATTTTGCAGTATTTATTCCACCTCATTCATTTCTGTATTTTATGTATATAAGTTTAGATTCGTTATTTAAAGTTGATTTACACAGCTTTGTGTATGTATGTGTAATGTGTATATATAGACACGTGTGTGTGTGTGTGTGTGAGTGTGTGTGATTTACATTGCTGTGCTTGAGAGCCACCATCTACTGGAACCAAATTCCCTGTATGTGTCTGCACATATACTTGGCCAATAAACACGATTCTGATTCTGATTCTGATTTTGCACCCTATACCCTATAATTCCATTTCCTTGTTGTCTCAAAAAAACGGTATGTACTGGGTGGGCGGAGCTATACCTTGTTTGTTTTCTTTTTGTTTACTTGAGAATACCTTCTGTGAGTTTCATTTTTACTTTGCAAAAGCTCTGAAGTGCTGAAAAATCTTACTCAAAATAATTGAGCTTACTCTTCCACGTTATTCTGTAATTTACTGTGCATACCTTTCATTAATCAGCACAAATAAGGTTGTATAGTTGGCTTACAGATCATAGAAATAGTTCAAAAGAAATTTAAAGAAATACTGATTAAACAGCATTTATAACACTCAACACCGAACTGAAGGCAGTATGATGTAAGTAGATCTGCTTCTGTTGAAGGTGAAGGCCAGTGTTGGTCAAGTTACTTGAAAAAAGTAATCAGTAACTAATTACTGATTACTTCCCCAAAAAGGAAATCCCATTACTTTACTGATTACTTATTTTCAAAAGTAATTAATTACTTAGTTACTTTTTAAAAACACGATTTACAACCTGAAGAGGTGATAAAGTGATAGATCTTTCAGCCCAATTCTACTTTTACTGCATAATCCATCATACAAAATGTAATCAAATGGAAAAGTCTTTTTTTTAACTTGTTTTATCAGTTTTAATCTTTTAACTTTATGCATCAAGCAAAAATTTAATTATATGCAACATTCTCTGACTTGAATAAATTCGTTTAACATTTAAACCTATTTTCTGCACATTCCAGCACATAAAATAAAATATTTTTTGTGTTTACACTCAGTCTTTCAAATAGATGCAAGTAAAACACAGCAGAAAATAAATAAAGTCAAAGACTCAGTGGTCCTTTTGCTCTATTTTCACCTGTAAAGCAGGACTGGGGCAGGCGGAGGTTTACCCTGGTGCAGGTGTGCCGCGGTCAGTTGAAGAATCCGCGAGTTTCTCTGTGAATTTCCCATTACGTCGTTGCGCACTCGCTGCTTGTTTAGGGGGGTTTTTCGCTGTAAAAAGAAGTTTTTTTCCCACGCACAACGGACGCTAATGTTTTTGTCACTTTTTATGGAATCAAACTCAAAGTCAGGTCAGTACTTCCACGCTTTAAACGCTGCACGCTCATACTCTCTCCGCACTCGATATATTATTCACTGTTGATCTGCACACAGCTGTTGTCACTAACGGCGCACTCGCTTACGTCACTGTCGTGAGACATTCTCGCAAAAAAAATAACCGTTTTAGTAACGCAGTAACGCAGCGTTCCTACGGGAAAGTAACGGTAATCTTATTACCGTTTTTGCAATAGTAATCCCTTACTTTACTTGTTACTTGAAAAAAGTAATCATATTACAGTAACGCGTTACTGCCCATCTCTGGTGAAGGCACATTAAGAAAATCCTCAGAGACCCAGAGCTTCTTTCTTCACTCTGCAGCCCAACAGGACATTTCCAGCTTCCACACACTCGGACACATATCTTGCTAAAATAGAAAAGTTATTATGAGAACAGATCAAATAAAAACATACTACAGCATCAAACAGTGTTTAAAAGAATATTTTATTTGTTGTTCTCATGGGTACGACCATTCTGAGCAAGGAGTGTCTGTGTCTAACAGACACTACATATGAGATCTTATATGTATTAAACTTTTTGCAGCCAACATGAAAATGGTAAATAAAGTTTTGTCTATGACTTTATTACTGATGATCATCAGTAAAACTCCCAGGCAGACCCACTATTGTCATCATCAACACATTCCATTTGTTTTGCAGTTTTACAGCCGTGCTGGAAAACTAGCTGCACAGTTGATGAATGACCTCTTCCATTACAACTTCCACAAATATCAGTTGGTTTACACTGAAAAATATCACTGTATGTTTATGTGTATTATTGTGTAGGGTATTGTGTAGGTGAATTGGGTGATGCACAAGCATTCACTGTGCTGGGTGATATGCAACTATAACAAAACATGCATATGCAAGAGAACAGTTGTTGAGTAGCTATCCTCTGTAGTTACCACTACTTTGCTTCTTCCTAGGAGCAAAGCACAGCTATTTAATGTTTTATTTAAATGTAACTTACAAAATAAAAGGACATTATCATCTGTAAAATTTATAACAAACTGAGCTTATCACAAATATCCTTTCATGACACCAGTGTGTTATTTAACAACCACAACCTTAAAATTTTAATGCCACAGGGGAAAAGGATCCCAAACAAGTTATAAAGTCAGCTTAAACTGCTTTCTTCATTAGAATGACAAACCTCTGACAATCACGTCCTTTTCTCAGAAACGGAATCCAGTTTTGCTGGTACATGTATTTATTTCCTGGTTCCTGTTTAGGAGTATGTTGTAGTTTCTGTCACGAATGCAGATCTTTTGTCACGGAGCAGTCGCAGTGTGCTGTGGAGCAGGCAGGATGGAGGACCCACACGCAGGACTCATAACCAAGAGGTTAACTTAAAGTGCAGTCTATTCACTGGGATGACTCATCAGAGAAATAAACATTACTGAAACACAACCAAAATCATGAACACAAAACTAGACTGGACACTGGAACCTAAAACTAAAGAACCCACGGGAACAGAACCAAGAACTAAGAACAATTTCCAAACACAGCACAGGGAGGCCGTGAACGTCAACAACTAGGGATGGGTATTGATAAGATTTTCACGATTCCGATTAGAGCAGGGCGATATGGCCAA